GGGTGCAGGCACGGGGGGTGGCGGCGGGCAGGGCTGTTTACGGGGGTGACTCGGGTGCCTCTGCTCTTGGCTGTTCACCCACCGTGTTTGTCGGGCTGGTTACGTAGGTTGGAAATTTGGGAAATGTTTTGACGCTGGTCCAATCTGTTTGTGTGAACAAATACATTCAGTATGACAGCGGGAGGTTTTGGAGAATGAGGTGATGGAAGCAACATCCCTTTATTATCCTGGTGTGTAAATACGTTTCAACAATATCTGCTTACCTTAGGGCCTGTCAAACAGGTATGGTTTCCCACCCCCTGGGTAGTATAAACCCTGGGGTAGCTGTTCTGCTCTGCTGGAGTTTTTACCACGGCGGTTACTTGCATGCTCAAAGCTGGTGAGCTTGCTCACTGAAGCACAGCAAACCCCCCACAGAAAAAGTTATGCTGCATTTGTTAACATGTCTATAAAATAAGTTTAAATTCATACTGATGTGAAAGCTGTAAGAGAATACCAAATAACAGTCACTCTGTCTTAAACTGTGTAACCCCAGAATACCTTTAGGACCCTATAGTGCTTTATATATTGGATGTATAGTGCTTTATATATTACTAGGTTTTGGTGATGCTAAACACAGTGTCACTGATTCTGTGTGATGTGTTGCAAGGAGGACAACTTCTTAAACTTTCCTTTTTTGCCCTCAGTTGTGCTTATCAGTGAAGCATTGGTTCTTTTACCTTGGAGGTACCAAGTGTGTTTCAGAGAGAGCAACCTGTAGCATGACACTCCACTAAATATAACTTCATTACCACAAGAGTTTCCTAGGATTCTTAATATTTTTGTGGACCATGATTATTTTTTCTTGGGGTCAGCTGAAAATACTCGTGTTTTCCAAGAAGAAGAATAATATTAGAGCTTTTAGAAGACTGCTACTAGGTTCTTTTTTCCTCTCCTGGAAGTGAACTCTACTTCTGTTTACTTCTACTGAGGTTCATGTTTCTCTGAAACATACGTCAGTTTGTGTTTTTCACCTTACTTTGGTATATTTCTGTTTGTTTTGTGACTTCTTACTGATTTTCTGTGTAGTAAGCCACTAATGACATATGTGGATTGAAGATTTTTTTTATTTTCAAAAGTAATTATAACCATGTTGTAAATATAACAACTTAGATGTTTCTACTGGACTGAAAATATTTATGAACCAGCTACTGAGCTTTATTTCTTGTTGGAAAAGTTTCCTGTTCATAAAACCTAGGATAATATCACTTCCTTGATAGTACGTAGTTGTTACTCAGTTTCTTTATGAAGTCAGAGCAAACGTGGGTTGGGTAATACATTGATTACATTTTAAATGGAAACTGCTGTGTTGCAGGTAGAGGAAAACAACTCCCTGCAGTTACTGAATTCACAGCAGTTAAGGAGCTTAGTTAGTTAGTCAGGGTGGCATTTGGCATGCTATGGTGTAAAAGTTGCATCTGATTTTTTTTTTTTTTTCTTAAACTGAGAAACTATATATTGTGCAGTTTGAGAGAACTAATCTGCCTGAAAAAAAGTTAAGAGCCAGTAGTGGTTAAGGTAGTAGGCTGGTTGCTGAATAGTATTTTAGCGTGACATTTGATTCTTTCCTGTGTAGAGGTGTGCATCTTGTGCTAAAAGTCTGTTCGTCACTGACTTTTTTCCCTTCTGACCTTGAAAATTTGTGAAGACAAGTTAAGAATCATTTGTCCATCTATTTAAAATTGAAATGGAAATATTCTTTCCACTTTTTGTTTTAGTCTTATGATGTCATGTTTCTGAGCAGGATCTAGAGTTGCTTTGTGCATGGAATGTCACATATCGGGTCCTTTCTAGATTAGGTGCATAGGACAGAGACAAACAGAAACAAAGAAGAGGCCTTCACAATTGTGTCTCTCTCAGGACTGCTTTTTTAATTACTTTTTTTCCTAGTTTTATTTCAGTAATTTAATGTTTTTCTTTCAATAAATCTCTTCTGATATTTTTGGCATGAAATTACTAACACAGCTTCTGTATTTTCAGGCCCTGTCTTATTTGAAAGCTTTCACTATTTGTCCTGCTGCACAGTTCAATAAGTTACACAAGCTCTGCTTAATGCTCTGTGTTTGTATGTGTTTTCTTTTTGTCATCCTGATCAAAGCTTTCGGGTTTGTGGCTTTTTAAATATAACACCAAAAATGTCTCATGAAAGCTTCAGGTGAACATAGGCTACAAACTGACAGTAGTAGTTTCAAATACTCTGGTAATACATTCAGTGTGTTACTGCCCAAAATTGTCTCAGATACAGCTGAAACAGTCTTTGCATAAAAACGAACAAACAGAAATTTACAGTAAAGTTGTTTTCTTTGTGTGGCACTGTTAATGGGCAGCTTGGTATGGTGGTGAACTTCATGAGTCACCATGTTGCGAGAGAAATTGGTGTTATGTTATAGGCTATTCATGCAATATTAAAGTTCTAGTCCATAATGTTAAAAATAAGGACTTGAGTGCTTGATTTTGGAGAGTGGGGAAGTGGGGGTGGGTGTTCTTTATGGAAATGCAACAGTTTACAGAGCTTAAATTGAAATAAATCAAAGGATTTTTTAAAAATTATTGTGCAATGTAATCTGATTTTTAATCCTACAGAAACGCTAGAGCCCCACAATGTCCTTGAAACCACGAGTAGTTGACTTCGATGAAACATGGAACAAACTTCTAACAACAATTAAAGCTGTTGTTATGTTGGATTATGTTGAAAGAGCAACGTGGAATGATCGCTTCTCGTATCCTTTAAGTGAAAATCTCGCTTGAAATGTTTAGCATGGATTAGGCCTGTGTTAAAAAACAATTCCAGTGGTCTGGATGAGAAGCCCATTGTAAGGTTGTATCTGTTATTAAGCCTGTGGGTCAGTGGATATGTTGAAAGGGATGGGAAATTCTGCATATTTGGGAAGTATTTTATGTGAAAAACACCACAGTAAGAAAAAGTGAACTGGTCTGAGTGTTACTTCTAGAAGCTCTAGTACTTAGCTTATGCTATAGCTGTTCACAAAAGTACATGCATTGAACTTCCCCTGTTCTGATAATGAGTTTTTCTTGTTTGCTGAAGTGTGTTTGTAGCAGCGGAAACATCTAAGACAGAGAACTCATCTGTAAATTTGAGTGTGTGGGGAGCAGTGAGGTTGTTCTGTTTAAAGATGTCACCCTCTTCTTTGTGCTTCTCAGTGTATGGATGACTACCATATTAGACATTTCTGAAGCAAGGGTTTATTAAAAAAGCCTTCTTCCTTTCCCTCCACCATTACTGCCTCTCTGTTCCTGACAATTAAGCTGTGTTTAAGAGTACTCTTTCTAGCTGTGATCGTATGGTCTTGCTGTTCAAGTAACTGTATATATATTGTTGTGGTGTAACGTTCACATTTTACATGTAAAATAGACTTGTAATTTTTTACAAGATTTAAGTTTCAGTGAACTTCTTTTGAAAGAAGTGTAACTATTCTTACCAGTTGTACTGTGCCTTGTGTCTATGCATTCATTAGCCATTATCTTGTGGTGAATAATTTGAGAATTTCAGGGGGCTTTGTAGCTGTTCTGCAGTAACTTGACTGAGTTTGGTTTAATTATACTTGGGAGAATGGTTTAGACTTATTTATTGATTTGTTAGTTCTTCTGTGTGAAAAAAGATGCTCCCAAGAAGATTCTTATACATAGATTTTTACAGCGTAAGCTTATTCTGTGTGCAGGAGCTAGACTCCAAAGTCTCTTGCTGAGTGTGTTACCATTTCTCTGAATTGCTTTCCCATGTGCCTGTGGTTTGAGTGTGTGCATGTGTATAAATACATAAAAGAAAAATATCGTTGCTCATAGTCTTTGTGGAGCCTTGTTCTATGGTGCAATAATCTTTAAGGAGCTCTTCAATTTAAAATTTTGTAATTAATTTCTGGGGACATGGCTCTTCACCTTGCCTTGAAGTTATGTTCAAATGACTCCGAAATTTGCAGTCTTTTTGAATTAATTATTGTGCACTTATGTGCTGACAAATTGTGCTGTATTCATTCCTTCTGAGCAGTTTTTAAGAACTGCTTATGTCAGTCTTCAACAAGTGTTTAACTGTAGCTTAGAACTCTGAACATTTAAACCAGGGCACCTAGAATAGATTTAAATCTGAAATAATAACTGAATGAGATGTTGTATTGATTCTTGTCACAGTGCTTCACTAGAACTTCTTATGTGGAAGCCTTGTACACAAGTCTGCTGTTGATCCTCTTTTGGGATTTACTCCAGTTGATTGAACATCAGAACGGGTATGCTTATGAGTAGCAGACGCAGGAAGCAGTGTTGGAAGGATCATTTGTCATAAAATTCTTAAGACCTTACTTACTACCATCTCTTAATTATGTTTCTTGTAATGTGGTACTATTAGTGCCTAATTTGGCACTACCAAGAACCTTTTGGCTTATTCTCTATGACTGAATGGCCTGAGGAGCTTGTGTGACTTGTAACTTGCAGTTTAAACATTGATTGTTTAGTACTTTTGCTACCTTTAACTAAACTCTGTGTTTTAACAGAAACTACTCACTGAGTGTTCAACAACTTGGTGAAACTGGTAGTTCTATACAGCTTGTGTGAAAGTTTTTTCCAGGTTTTAAATATATAAACAAAACTGAAGTATTAATTATATGTTTTAGGAAGATGTGGCATTCAAAAATGAATCATCTTGTTCTTTGTTAGCTTTTTATTCTCTGTTAAATGTGAGTAATCTGTTTCTATACATGTACAGGGATGTTAAAGGAAATGTCATATTAACACTTCTTCTTACTGCTTAATAAGCACAACAAAAAGGTGACAAATTATTTTAACTGTGTGTTAATGAAATTCATATGGATTATTTCATTGATTATAGTACCACCTGATCTTTATAGTCTAGTTGAAACAATGATATGGAAACAAAAGATAAGATAGAGCAAAGAATCATTATTTCAGTCTGCAGCGGTGTATTGTAAGAAGTGTTTGCTTTCTCTTGTGCTGCTTGAAACTGCTGAGATCAAATGGTGTATGCAGACTAATAGTGTTTTAGGGATGAGAGGCTTGTACTATGCATATTCCACTTCTAGAACTATTTTTTGCCTCACTACTTCCCCAGAACTTGTTTGTCTTGAATATACTGTTTTCTTTGTAACTCTGATGGTAGTCGTGTTGTTAAACATAGTTTATCTTTAAGAGCTTATATGTCAAACTCGAAATGCTAGAATGGCAATGAGAGCTGGGAACAGCAACTGTTTAAGAGTTAAAATCTTCTGGAAAATATCACTTGAAAGACCGTATGTCACTTTATTTAAACTGTGAGTCATCTTGAGCCACCTTTGACCTTCAGATTTCCTTTCAGGTTCTCTGCAGAAAGAAATGTTTCTAGAGTTGTTTCATTGTTTAGTAAATGGGTGACAGTTATGTTTCTCTTTGAGATATTCTTTATAATAAGTTAGTTATTATGAATGCTTTTTATAGCTTCTAAGACTTTGGTTCTAACTGTTCCGCAGGCTAGGGAGTGCTCTTTATGTTAAGAGGCTGATCAAGCTTGATTAGAGAGTGGTAGTTCATCTGTACTTTGATAACTACCTTTTAGCAGTAAAACTTTTTGAACCAGTAGAACATCAGGATCTTCCTGTTGTTGTCTTGGCTTTTCCATCAACCAAATGAATAGGATGAACAGTACGCAGGGGGAAAGGTAGTCATGCTGCAAACGCAATTAATTTTAAAACTGTGCAACACGACCACCCATCTTTTTCCATTTTTCTCCATGTTTGTTTTTGCTCCTCTAATCCCCCACTTCACAAGGATCCTATGAAGAACCAGAACCTTATAAACATGGATCTTTAAGAACCAACCCAAAGATCAGGAAGAGTAAATCAAGTTCGTATGATCATGATTTTTTCTGACTGTAAGACCTCAAGTGCTTCTGTGGATTTTGATTCAGAGGAAGACCAACAATCACAGAAGTTTTCCAGAAGCTCTACTGTAGTCTTCTAGAGAAGATGTATTCAAAACCTTCTTTTCATATATGATCTTAACTAAATGCTTTTTTAACCCTGAGATGGTATTTGTGAGCTTTTATGGCCTTGGATACAGTATTTTCTTGTTGATGTGGATGTTTGTGGGTTTGTTGGTTTTTTTTGGTTTTTTTTTCCTTCCCTTGGTTTGGAATTCATTCAGTTTCCTATTGCTGGGTAATGCCCTTCAAATAGCAGCTGCTGGAGCACTTAAATCACTCAAGGCTTTTGATGTTATCAGCACAGAGTGAAGGCCCCTAAGCAGCTGTTTGGCTCCAGCTTCCTTTGTCCTTTCTCACCTTGCAAAACTGTCCTGAACTGGAAGGACAAATGGCTTTCACCATTAAAGATAAATCATTGAACAGTAAAGGCTTCTTCCTGATCTTCTAAGGGACAGCAGCACAGAAAAAAAGTGCTGTAAGTTTATGGAGTAAAATACCAGTGGTGTTCAATGGCTCACCTCCCTGAAAGGTGAGGGCTTTTTTTCAATAAGAGATTCACAACATTTTGAACACTACACTTAAATTTAGGTTCTGTAAGCTAGTACAGATTGAGAAAGAATGTGAATTTTCTGTAGGAAATGTACTCTGTGATGTGTTTTTGAGACTCGTGGTAGCTCTTTTTTATAGAAATACAGAGGAACTTAGTATCCAGCAAGTAGAATTCAGTGGTATTTTTTATCATCTCTTTATATCTTCACTTTATGTTTGCTTTGCTCCATACTTGGCTAATCACATTATTAACCTAGTTAGTGCTTCTTTCCATTATCTGAAAAGAGCCTTGGTTTCACATTGACTGCAGTTACAGAGGAAGAATTTTGATGAAAGCTGCTTTTTCACTTTGAGATAATCATATGTTATTCATAGATGTTAAATAAGTGGTAGAAGCCATGTCTGCGTGGGGCTACCAGAAGTTCCAGGATCTTAGCTCTAACATTCCTTCACCTTCCACTACTTAAAATTTATTGTTGACACTGGAAACTTAGATTCTTCACAAATCAGGATGTACGCTAATTTCAAAAAATGATCCATTTTATCTTTTGTGCCAACTGTAAAAAAAAAAAAAAATAAAAATCTAAAAGCGGGGGAGAAGGGAGGGTGGGATATGCTCTATAGTCATAAGTTTTGTTTATAGGTTTTCACACTTTAACTCTGAGCCCAGAGACATTTATGCGTTGTGTGTGGCCTATCCAGAACCTCTTGGGGAGAGACTTTATACTGAGACTAAAATTTTTCTGGAAAATCATGTACGCCATTTGCACAAGGTAACCTGTTCAGTTATTGATGTACACATCGGTGTTGTTTGTCCGTTTTTGACTTTAGGGAGGAGTTTGGTTTGTGTGTATGAGATTATGCAGACTTTATGAGACTAAACCACAGATGACAGAGTTCCAGAGACAGAATATATATATCTATATATGTGATATATGCAACACATATCACACAATAAAGTGTGTCATATATGTGCAGTATCTAAATATCTGTCTACATGTAACACGAAAGAACGAACTTTTTAAGCCAACAATTGTGGCTTATAGAAAATATTAGTTTGCTTGAAAAGTACTTTATTTTCTGTTGAATGCTTGTAGTCAAGTTATAGAAATGTCTTCATTTTACAAATGTGCTCTAGTTTGTTATTAGCCTTCTGTTGCAGCATAAAAGTGTCTGCTCTAGCATCTTGGAAACTGATTATGTATTATCTACTAAAGAAAACTTCTGAAATATGTGGGAAATAAAATAATAAAAATGCTTGGGAAGAGAAGAAGTAATGACAAATTATTTATTATGGTGAATAACAGTACTTGTATACCTCTATAGCTGTGAATTAACTTCTGTCTCATCAACTAAGACAGCTAACTTCGACAGGATCATGATTCATCATGTTGAATATATGGGATAGATGAAGAAAAAATACTGGATAGATGAAGATCGTCTCCTTGTATGTCTGTAAAAACAGAAGTAGATTTAAATAAAGTGTCCACCTGTCTGTACAGAGAATGAATAATTGCAAATTCTGGATAGTAGACTAAATCAGTTCACTAAATTGGCAGATGACTCGTCCAGAAAAGTTATCCCTTTATTTAGTGAGCTGAATGAGCTCAGTTAGGCTAATCAGGCAGGTGCCAGCACAGTAGAAGCTCTGGGAAGAAGTAGAAAGCAAACCTCCATTTTTTGAATTGTCAATCCACCGTTTGTCTTTGAAATAATGTTGGAAAACCTTTGCTAAATTCATACTGCAGAGGAAAGGACTCTCGATTTTGTTTTGTTTACTAGCTTTCCTCTTTTACATTATTTTTGCGTAGGCTTCTTTGGTGCTTGAGCCAGAGTTTAAAATTTCCTACTCTAGGGAGAATTATAGTTGAATTTCTAGGATCACATCTTCCTTCTCAAATAATACTAATTAGTTTAAATTGTTATGTTTTGAAAGTTAATTATATCAGCAGCTTTTTAGATGATGATTTGCTTGAATTCCAAAAGATTTGGGCCTAGACAGAGCTTGAGATGTGTTTAAGTTTGCACGTATCTGCGCAGTGTTAAACTTGTTTTATTCCGTGATTCTTGGTAAGTATGAGGGTTTGCCTAACCAGTAAGGCATAGTGACCTTAAGCAGTTATATTTAAGCAGCTCCTCCAGTGTGTGTGTGGCTGCATGAATTTAAAATTGGCCTGTGTCAGTCAGGGAATGGTTAATGTGAGTTGTCCCAACAGTATGATGTGAGAATATGAACCATGCTTATTCAAGCGAGTACTCCTGTAAAGAAGAATAGAAAATAATACATTATAGGTATTTTTCTGTTTAAATGCAAAATAAAGCAAATTCAGGTGTTGTAGCTGACTTACCAAAGCTTTACAGTATGAAGATTCGTTAGTTTTCTGGTCACTGCAACAGTGTTATTTTTAGACTGGTTAATACTTAGGTGTGGTCTTAATTTTGAAAATGCGATTTTTATTCCAAAATTATAATCCTGTTATAACTTTGTATGTACGTATTCTGTGTTTGTACTAATTTTAGTGGGGGGTGTGTGTGTGTCTTCCTTCACAGAGAGTTCTGGAAGCTGAAGAACAAGTACTGGTTATGTATCACAGATACTGGGAGGAGTATAGCAAAGGGGCAGACTATATGGACTGTTTATACAGGTAAGCTTTGCAAATGGATTGTTAAGCTTTTGAAATGGTTACAGTGATCTGCAGTTTAAGTCTAAGAATGTTGCTTAAAGAGAGCAATAGCTGAATATGCCCCAGGACAGTTTTGGAGAGAATATGGGTAGCAGAACATGAGAAAAAAAGGAGTAATGCTCCAGCAGGTTTGTCTGTGCACTGTTCCTTACCACTGAAGTAATTTTCTAAGATGATTCCTACTATTCTTTCATCACTAATATATTCTACCTTTGTTGTTTCTGATGTTCCAGTGCCAAATATGTTGGTGCTCATCAAGCCTGCTGTGAAGTAGCTCATAATCCTAGGTGTTCTTCTACAAGGATGGCATTGTACTGAAGTGTCCAGTTGAGCAAGCGTGGTTTGTTTCAAAGTTTAGCCACATAGCTTGGCAAAAACACAGCTCTCCCTTCTAGAATAGCCTTTCAGACAAGGCTGTGTGCTCTTTGGGTCCTTTCTTTTCAGGTGAATGGTTGAACTGCAGGGATTGGAGAGGAAGTGAAAATTTCTCCTTTTTTCTTGTCTGAGAACTTCAGAAACTAATAGACTGTATACAGGCAATCAATTTTACAGTTTTTTTTCCAATAGATTACAGCCAAGTCTGTAAATAAAAGCGCAACTAACCCTGGTATTTTTGTATTTCTGCTGTTTCCTGAGTTGCAAATGTATTTCATTGTCTAGTGATAGCTTAAGCATAGAAAACTCACCCATTCATGAGTTGCTAGAATTATAATTATATTGGGATGTCTTTGGTTTTACTAGGATTTGGATTTTAATTCCACTGTGAGTGTAGTTTGCACATTCTAGTGTCCATTATGCATGTGATACCCAGCAGGTAAATATAAGTTACGAGGCACTGTGAACATTGTACTTATTTGACGATGTGATGTGAAGATTTGCAAAGGATTTCAAGACTTTTTCTGTTCCATTAGGAGATCTATGTGTGATCTTGCAGAATCTATTAAATCGTCACTAGCAGACTGGGAACAAATGTGATGGAAGCCCATCTTGGGCTTGCAAACTTTAGTTCCATAATATGTCAGTAACTTAACTGGAGAGTTGATATAGAGGGGGGAAAAAAATCCTATTTAATGTGTCTGAATCTTACTGATTCTGCTTTGTGTAACAGTTTTTCTGAGCACTTCAGCATTTCTGGTCGTAAACCAGGAAAATAAAATACTTCTCCAGCAGTGTGAATGTGCTTTTTAGTTTTATGTTTAAACAAGCGAGGGCATTATTTTTCTGGACAGCTGTTATGCACATAAACCAACCTGTGTGTGTGTATATATATATGTATATTTACACACACGTGTATATATACATATACATATATACATATAAATACACATATATATAAAAATAAGCTCAGTAGAGCAGTAGTCATACATCAGTGAAGCCAAGTTCTTAAACTCTGAAGTTATTTATTTCATGCCAGCTCTGCCCATTCTACTCTTCTTCCTGCTTTACGTATGGTGTTTTGGTCCAGAAAATGTACTTGTTAGGTGTTATGTTGCAAATAATTTTACCTCAGAGTTACATCTTCTTTCTTTGTGTTGAAATTGAAGACTCTAAAGGATATGACTTTGTGGAAGTATGATTTTTCTGTTCAATAATAAAATGTACATTGTAGTGGGAACTAAAAGACCCGCTCACATGAAGGCAGGAAATAATTCAGTGCTTGATGAGTAGAGTCACAATGACTTTCACACATTGGAAACGTTTCATCAAGTGTTACGTTACTTTTTTGGTTTTTGAGAGAATGTTTTGAGTGAAAGTACTTCTGAAGAGCATAAGATATTGTTTTTTATGAAGCAGTTGGAGTTCTTTTCTTACTTGCATGCCTACTCTCAAAAAAGCACCATAAATTAGTCAACCCTGTTGTATCCCAGGATCTAATTTGTATAATTTTTCCAGCAATGAAAACTGATTAATCCTTACAGCTAGTAATCTTAATGTTATTTTTAATTAGATTGCTTTAAATTTTAAATAGGCTCACAACTCTGTGTCTTAAACTTCTTAAGCCTTCTACCATGATAGGTAATATTTGAAATACTGCTAAAATGTGAGACACTTTCAAGCAAAATTTATAAAATGCAGGAGGAGTCATGTGACTGGCAATGCAGCCAGATGTTTTCTTTCTTTGATGTTGATTTTGGTGTGGTTTTTTTTGCCCACCCCTCTGGGTGCATTTTGCTAGGAAAACACATTTGGATTCAGTTTGAAAACTAAAATCCCATACACGCTTGACTAAACCAAGGTGATGAAGCTGATGGAATAAAGAACACTTGATGTTAAATAAACTTCCTCAGTTGATTTTGTTAGTTCTGATGATAAACATGGTAGATAAAAACAATGCTGGACATTGGCGCTTATCAGTGTCTTGGTGCTATGACTGTTTTCATAGGTAATCATACTGGTAGAAAATTCTGTTTTGTGCACCTTTATTTCAAGTAACTGGAAGGCTTTGCTATTGAGCAGATTGAAGTTAATTTCAATTATTTTTTTTAAACAGATGAAGTTTTAAAATCTGCTCATAATAAAATCTTGAAAACTAAACATAGTGCACCTTTGGCTTTGTTCCCTTTTGTCTTTTTTTTTAAACAGTTGTAGTAATACTAGCATATTAATGTATAGTGATTTTTAGTTCTTTAGGCTAATCTTAGTTCTCTTTCTTTTTGTACTTTTATGAGACATCTTCCTTCCCTTTCAGGATTAAACTTCAACCAGTTTTGTCATGATAATGACTTTGTCATGGTTAATTTGTATTCTGATTCTAAGTACAATATCACAGTAACCTGTAATGCAATTAAAACTAATTCCAGTCCCCTTCTCATTTTTTTTAAGCGTTAAGAAGCTGTTGCTCTTAATCATGCTTACTAATTATATAGTTTAACAAATATGAAGAAGATATAAACACACAAGAAGTCCACCAGTGTTTGAAATCTAACATTAATGGTGTTTTTCCGTTGAAACTTTCTACTGAAGGAGCTGCCTTCATTTTAGGCTGTAGCATTTGGTAGCTCTGGGAGATTTACTTCCACATCACATAATTATTATTGGTCGTATCATTTTTGATACAGCAGTTGGATTCACAACATTTTAGTATCTGCAGTGCTTTGTCATAATGAAGTGGCTTTCATTTATTAGCTAATCCTCATATTGTGGTAGATTACTTTAGCCCTGTTTTACAGATCTGTGAAAGGGAATACTTCATCTGTGCTTAAGGGTGAATGAGAACAGATACTGGATTAGGAAAATTTCCAGTGCTGAGCACTTGCATGTGCTAAAGCATTCTGGTTGTGTAAAACACTGGTTCTGCTGCTTTTAGTATAGCTCTTGCAAAGTCACCGCTTCATGTTTTCATTGAAACATTTTTTTTTTACATGTAGGTGTGAATGAACATCTGAAGGTCATCCATTTCAACCTTATGCTCAGAATAGGGCTAACCTCAAAGTTAAACTAGGTTGCTTAAAGTTTTGTTGTCAAATTCTGAACTCGTTCGAGGACAGATGCTGCTGCCCTTGAGCAGCCTCTTTTAGTGCTTGATTTACTCTCATTCTAAAAAATTTTCCTGTATGTCTGTTTGGAATTTGTCATGTTGCAACTCCTGTGCGTTGCTTCCAGCCTTTTCTCTGTTCTCCTCATCTTATGTACGCCTCATGCTCTGCACCCTAGCTGTTTCAATGAGCTTTCTCTGGGCTCTTCCATTCGTCCAGATTTGTTGTATTTGAGTACTCAAAACTGGTTGTGATATTCCAGGTATGTCCTCACAAGTAATGAGGGAACAATCGCCTCCCTTGGCTTGCCTGGTACGCTCTTGCGAATGCAGCCAAGGAGGTGGTTGGTTTTCTGTCGGCTCCCCAAGGCAAACTGCTAACTTGGTATCCACCCATGAGGAACACTGTTCATAATGTATTCCCAGATAGATTTAGCACTGCTGACCATATTAATGCACATGGAAATTATTGGAAACTTTAATACAATTGCTTATACCTATTATCCAGTAATGTACCCATTTATAACTTTGCCGTGTGATTGTGTACGCATTCTGTAGCTTGCAAAGCAGTTTAGTTGTGCGAGTGGTAGGTTGCAGAAAATCTTAATAAACAAACTGAATTCTTCTGAAAACTAACGGTACTAATTAGGCTTAGCTAATTAGTTATGGTTTTGTTGATTGCCTTCTACATATCAGAAGAGTGAATGATATTGCCACATAGGATCGTTATCCATTTCTCTGTTCGTGAGCACTTGCAGTGGCCTGTGAAAATCTTTAGCAGGGTTTTCTCAGTGCAAATTTCTGAAAGCAATTTCCTCGACATTCAGTCGAGTTTATTCCTGAATGCTCTTCTGCTAGACTCACATGCCGTTTTGGGGATCAGTATAGCAGTCTGACTATGTGTGTGGAAGGGCAGGAAGAAGGGGGAACACAAGAGTGAGTTTCTTCTTTATCTTTGGAGGACTTTCAGAGGAGGAAAACATCTGAACATGGTGTGTCTACCCGTTTTAGCTTAAAAAGGTATAGTACTTCTAGAAATATATATAGTCATGTGTTGTTCTGTGGTGTCATATCACGGATGGACAGACTTAAAGGAGGTAAATTCTTTTGGCTTTATCACGGAGAACATAACCAGGAGCTGTCTTGAGGCAGGTATGCTCTTAGGTTTATTACATTCAAGCCAAGTTTCACAATGTCTGTTTTGCCAACACTAATGGCTGTTTCTTATCTAGGAGTGTGTAATTCAAACTACTAAAACCAAATAAAACATTAAAAGAAAAAGCCACATATCTAATCCTTCTGACAAGGCATTGCAAAGTCTGTCCCCTCAAGGACACTGTGGGCTGTTGAGATGTGGAAACATTGCTTTGGGAATGTGGTCACTCTGTCTAGAATAGTAATCTGCGGTCCTTGGTTGATCTGAAAATACCAAATGCATGAAAGTTACCAGGTAACCTGTCCCAATAATTAGCTAGCCTTCTAATTCTTAAATTAGTTTTTGCAGTTTATTTTTTTGCTAAATTCATTGTAAGAGAATGTACCCCTTTATTTGGCAGAATTACCAGGTCCTTTGTATCTGAAAAAATTTGCCCACAAAAATACTCATGTACTAGACATTTTCCTGATACTGTTAATTTAGATGGAACTCTGCCTTTCAGTATTCTATTGTAAAGTAGGTATTTGTTTTGAAGGAGTCTTCTAACACTCTTCTAAATTCCAGACTTTTAAATGTTTTTCTGGAGTGGAGGCTTGGTCAGTGTGTTTTGAGGTTTGGGTACCAAAAGGTATATTACTTTGCTAATACCATGAAAGGAAACAAACCTCAATTTTCTGATCTTGTTTGTCATTTTTTCTCATCAGACAGCAAAGCATAGGCCTGCACAGGTGCACTCTCAAGTAATTGGGCCTGAGCTATGTGATCAGGTATTTCAAATTTTCACCTGGAAGTTTTCTCTTAATAGTATCAAGAGTCTGTGGGTGATTTCTGGTATTATCAACTCATGCCCAATCCTTGTCTCCACAGTAAGTTACAGGTGAACCTTATGGATGTCTTCTAAAAGTAAGAAATACAGATCAAGTATTTGAAGTAGTTATTCAAGGTGAAAAATGGTTTGACTTCAGTGGAGAAGTTGATTTGAGATTATACTGTTTACACATCCTTTGCAGTTATTGGCTTGTGCTTGGTTCTGGAAGTTGATGGTAAAAGTAGGGGAAGGGGAGAGGAAATGTGGGCAAATTTGGCTTTGGTTTTGAGGCAGAGCGTGGTGACGCTTTTGCCACAAGTGGTTCTGTTTGCAGGCTTCCTGCCCACCACCTTTTTTGCTTGAATCAAGTAGGTCTTTGCAGAGGTACCTGATCTAGGTTAAAATTATTTATTCACTTGTGGCCGCATTAGTTTTAAGATGGGTCGGTTGCCTGATCTGGGTTTGTTGAGAACATATGCACCGATGGAAGAGAGAGGCTGTAAATGAGGAGAGCACAGGGCTTTCCTTTTGAGCAAGCTTAACAGGAAAAGTGGAATGGCAGCTGCGGGCTTTGTTCACATGGAGGGGGTGGGAAATATCATCAAGGAGCATGCCTGCCTTAAGGCTTGTGTTCCGGCTATACTGGCTGTCCACACAAGTTTTATATGCAAGGGTGGGCCTGTAGCCTTCAACACAGACTTGCCATTTGCAATTTATGATGTGGTTTGCAGTACTCTAAGACTCTGGAGTCTGAAGGTTATGCCACTGTATTCCAGTTTGCTACCTCTGCACTGTCACAAGTCTTCCTTCTTTGGACTCTGTGGTGTCCTAAATTCTTTCAAGTTCACAGGTTTCCATAGTGCGTTTCTCCTTTTCTTTGCTTGTCATTTGCCTTCCTGCCCAGAATGTTCAGACATCACTAAACTTGTGCAGCCTCTGAAGCTGGAATCTCTTAAAGTGCTTCAGTAATCTGTCTCTCTTCAGTGTCTGAAACTGTGCATCTTGAAACTGCTAGTTGCATTAAAAAAAAAAAAAAAATTCTCAGTTGCCTTATTTAAGCAGTAACATAAATATTCTAAGTATGGTTATTAAAGACATTAGGAATTTTTTCCCAGTTATCTGGGAAGAGAAGGAGAATTGTTCAGTTTAAAAATGTTACTGCATTTCTTTTAAGGGAATACTGAGAATTAAGAGGGGCATTTTATCAGGTCTTGTGCAGAAACCATTTTCTGATTTCTATAAAAACTATACATAGAATAGTAAATACTAAATACTGAAAAGCATTTATAACATTTCTTCTTTATAACTGTTAAAATAATTTCTGCAAATTCTTCTCTTAAGATTTGTAATACAGCTGTTTGCTAGTGACCTGAGTAAGGGATCATAACGGACAAAAATTGGCCCTGTAAAAATTGACACTATTTTGCATTTCTCAGACTAAAACACAAAAATAATAAACAGTACAGGTAGAAGAAAATACTTTTTGTGTAAAAATACCTGATACTTAGAATGTTTTTCTATCATTAAAAATGAATAAACTACTATCACTCTGATACTAGTCAGCTGCTCAGAATTGAGCAGTTATTTTGCATATACATGTATGAGTAATATGGCACTGTATGTTGAAAGGCTGTATTCATACAGAAGTATCTTGCACACCCAGAAAATGCAGAGAGAGATATGTCAGGCTACTGTTTGATATCTCAGTTACTAACACTGTACTGTTTTAATATGATGTAAGGTTTTTTAAATTGAAGTAATTTATCTTTTAAGAATTTCCTACAGATAGCAGTGGCATTGGTTAAAAGGCATTATCTTTTGTGATGTGGAAGACATTTCACAACTCCAAATTTATTTTTTTAAAGATAGTTTTTCTTTTACCTAGTATTTTCACTAGAATATCTTTATTTCTGTAGGTACCTCAACACACAGTTTATTAAGAAGAACAAATTGACTGAAGCTGATCTTCAGTATGGTTATGGAGGGGTGGATATGAATGAACCATTGATGGAAATAGGAGAGGTAAGTATCTCTGAAAGCGGGGGTGGATATAAACTGTATACCGAAGTGCTATAAGTTCAGTTTTGTCCTTTTAAACTTTGCCTTTTCTGTGTCACAACATCTGATTAGTTAAATACAAAAGAAGATTTAAGCACTGAACCCTTTGGAAAATGAGATTACAATTTTGATGTAGAAAAACATAGTGACCTAGGGGGGAAGAAAGCAAATATGAAAACTATTGGAGAACTTCAGTTTAAAAAAGTTTAATAAAACTTTAATAACGTTAATAAAAGTTTGGTTTATTAAGTGACACTACTATCTAGAAAATATTCTGAAGAAGCAGTACTTTTGATTTTGGAAGTGTTGAAATACTAACTTCAGGCTTCTATTTCTTGATGTCACAAAGTGTAACAGCTGTTTTATGAGGTTAGTCTTCTGCAATACTGTACATCTTATTTTTTAATGCAAGCGCTTTTGTACTTCTCTTATAACAACTCGAATAGAGATTTTGAAAGAAAAAGTAGACGTTCTGTGCACAAAAATGTGGGTAGGGCTTATCTTTAAAGAAAAAAGTAATTTAGGGCAAGCACAAGGGTGTTGACACAGTTACTAGTGTAAGTTGGAAAGGTTGAGGGTAATTTTTTAAATACCTATAAAATGAAAAAACTTGTCAGTAGTAGGATTGTGTTAAGATACCACCCTGTGCACTTCAGCTATGCAGAAGTGAAGTATACATCGTTTCTGTCACTTCATGGCTACTCTTTACCATGAAATATAAGAAAGTAAAATTAAAAAAAAATTTACAGTAAAAAAAATATTTCACATTTTTCCAGAAAAAGTGTTTCAGAGTGTCTCTAAGAAGATTTTGAATCACCTTTTCAGTCAAAATCAGAACAAGAATCACAGTCCTTTACAGAGTGGAGTAGAAACTTCTCTTCTGAATGCTTATCTGTGTATCTGTTTGCTGTGTGTCTGTATATATACACACTGTGAGCTGGAGAATTCCATTTTATTCTGTCATTATTTGTAGTGGTGTATTGTTTTTTTCCTTTCTTCTCTTTGTTTGCCTTTTTCTGTAAAAGGGAAGTGAACACTTCTCGTTTTTTGTTTTGTTTGACCTGTCATTGGTAACTGTTGTAGCTCTACCTCTTTGATTTCATTGTTTTAAGCAGATCTCTGCTGCCTTTAGTTAAGAGTAAGGAGAGACTGTGATGCATGAAGAAGCATCTTCTGTGCTTCTGACCCAGCTACCCAGCTGATAAAGATGGCACTGACAGTTAAAATTGTTAATCCTCTGACAGATTGGGAGTGGGCTGAAAAAAAAAACAAACAAACAAAAAAAACCCAAACAACCCAGAAACATAATATGCTTTAAGTCAAGGCAATTCAGGAAAGGAAATTCTTCTCTTGTCTACCTGTACTGTCTCCAAGGCTTGCTAATCAGTGGCATCTGTAAAGGCTTATCAGAGCTTGGAAGTGCATCTATTGCTGCACTGTTTATGGTATCTTCAAAATGGCATAAATGTTATTCCTTATTTCCTCAGACTGAGATTTAGCAGAGTCTGTTCCCACGAATGTCGGAGATAGTCCGTAGCTCTTGTGAATGACTTAGTTCAGCTGCTTTGGGGGCTGGGAGTAGCTCTGGGCTTGGTCTTGGGGTTCAGTAGTGCTCATGTATTGATGAATTCTCCCCCAGCTTCAGTGTGCTACTCTATTCCAAGGTACAACCCAAAGGATGGTAGTGGTGACTTTTGCCTGTAGCTTTCTGCTATAGGGTGTGTTAACCAAAGAAGAACAAACATCAGGCCTGATAATTCAGCTTTTTTGGAGTATTCCATTTTCCTCGTGTTTATGAGGAAAGCAAGGCGCAATGATGATGAGGCACACTTGTCTTCAAGCTTCCCAGTGGTTGTTCTAGGGTGGTACATCCCTAGTTCATCATTTGGGCAGGTTATGGTGAGGGTCAAGATTCTTAAACTGTAGCTGTCAGCCTTTGGTTTTTGATGAGGTGTTTGGATTATGATGTCTGGAATTCCACTAATGGCTTTTTCATTATCTCACTCCCCAAGACTCCTTCCATTTCTCTTTACCAAATACTATCTTTGTAATCTGTAGTATTAGGAGGAAAATTTTGGATCTTGAGACGGTGAAGTTAATCTCTGTTCATTGCTGGTGTAGGATGGGTTTATGGCAGTTACTCCTTTGCGCTGGAAAGAATGGAGGCTGGTGTCCTACACTCAAGTAGCTTAATGCGTTAAATTGCAGCTCTGTTTTTGGTGAATCCATTGCCCTAGAAATAAAAGTACTTCATGATTCTTGACCTACAAGGCACTTGCCAAGTTTATCAAGACTTTGTTTTGAAAGTGTTTTCTCTCTTGTTATGGTTCCTGTTTAGGATTCTCTCTTTTACTCTTTGGATTGCACTAGGGGCTTTGACAGAAGTCATTATTTCAGTTGTTCATCACTTTAGAATGGAAGGAATTATCATTTATCCCTTTTTAGATGACTGAGATGAACTGTCCTTTATCTACCCGAGAGCAAACAGGCTTTTTTTATATATAGCTCTCATCAGTCTCAGCATGAAGTTACAGAAATAATGCCCAGTATTTGTAGAAGCAGAACTGTCTGAAGTTTCTGTCTCAGCATCACTCCTGTGTGCTAATGAAACTTTGGGAGCTTTTCAGTAATCATAAATGAGTACACACTTGCTTAGTTCTTCTGGGGTGTGTAGCAGTAGGTACATACAAGAGACCAGAGGTGCATATGTGATGTGTATGGGCATGGCTTCAAACAGTTCATCATCCCTATAAGTGTTCCAGACATTAAGTAATTGTTGTTCTAGGAAAAATACAGGATGAGATCAGTTGATGAAAGTAGTCTGCTAGTGCATGCAAGAGTTGTTTGGGTTTTTTTTTCTGTCTGCATGTTATGAATGCATGGTGGAGGATACTGCTTTTCTGAGTTGAGCTTCTATCACCAATTTCAGACCTCTGAAGTTTTCAATGAGTCTGGGGGAGCCCTGAGCTAGAAGGTAGTTATGATGTGCCTTCTGGTTTTCTCCCCCATCATGGGGCAACAGATTCTGGAAAATGGAAGAAACTGCCATGTTCTCTGTTGTCAATCAAGTTGAAAAGTAAGATCAGTCCCTCTCTTTAACGAGAAAAAAGTCTCTTAAACTAATACATCAGGTTGCTGGATTGACCTGTCTGTAGTTTACTTGACAAGAAAATTCCTGCAGAAAACTTGAAGCTGGTAGATAACATGTGAGAGGGACCATGCTGGAGACCGCATCTTGGAGACCCCATTGCAGAAGAGAGTTCTCTGATGTCATCCTCTTCACCTCATAGTCACAAAATGTCAGTCTCTTTTTTTTTTTTTTTTTTTTTTTTCCCCTCTCCAGAACTAGCTTCTTTCAGCATTTGCTGCTGGATGAGTTCCTGACACATCCAGTTCTGGATGAGTTTTCCTCTAACTCTTCTACTCTTCGTGAAGCAAGACAGTGAAAATCACTCCTAAGACAACTTCGATTTCAAAATGTTACGTGTCTTTTGATTTATAAGCAAACCTTTACCTCTTCTTTGGATGTGCTTATGATGCAGCTGAGTCAGCTTTACCTCCCAGAATTCTGTACCCTGCATTACAGCATAGGTGCTGGATGGCTGTGACAGAGCAAGTTCATTTGTCTGCTCTTTAAAAGGAAGATTTATTTCACAAAGTGGATCAGCTAGGGTACCTAATAGATAGCTAGATGCCTACTTTCGGTTAGGCATACCTGGTTGATATTTTAATTTTTGCAGGTAGGGCCCTGTTAGTTGTGTCAAAGCTTTCTTTGTGGGTCGAGGCAATACCAAGCACAAATAGAGGCTGGGTGAAAAAAGGATAGAGAACAGCTCTGAGGAGAAGGACTTGGGGATATTGGTTGATGAGAAGCTCAACATGAGCCGGCAGTGTGCACTTGCAGCCCAGAAAGCCAACCGTGTCCTGGGCTGCGTCAAAAGAAGCATTAGCAGCAGGTCGAAGGAGAGGAGACTGAGGGGTGACCTAATTAATGTTTATAAATACGTGAAGGGTGAGTGTCAGGAGGATGGAGCCAGGCTCTTCTCTGTGACATCTAGTGATAGGACAAGGGGCAATGGGTTCAAGCTGGAACATAGGAGGTTCCACTTGAATATGAGGAAAAACTTCTTTACAGTGAGGGTGACAGAGCACTGGAACAGGCTGCCCAGAGAGGTTGTGGAGTCTCCTTCTCTGGAGACATTCAAAGCCCACCTGGATGTGTTCCTGTGTGATCTGATCTAGGTGTCCTGCTCCGGCAGGGGGATTGGACTAGATGATCTTTCGAGGTCCCTTCCAATCTCTAACATTCTGTGATTCAGTGATTCTCCCCCTCTGCTCTCGTGAGATCCCATCTGGATCTGGAGTACTGTGTTCAGATGTGGGGCCCCCAACATATAAAAGACATGGACCTGTTGGAGAGAGTCCAGAGGAGAGCCACGAAAGTAATAAGAAGGCTGGAGCACCTCCCCTATGAGGACTGGCTGAAAGAGTTGGGGTTGTTCAGCCTGGAGAAGAGAAGGCTCTGAGGAGACTTAACAGCAGCCTTCCAGTACCTGAAGGGGGCCTACAGGAGAGATGGGGAGGCACTCTTTATCAGGGAGTGTAGTGAGAGGACACGGGGTAATGGTTATAAGCTGAAAGAGGGTAAATTTAGACTAGACATTAGGAAGAAATTTTTTACTATGAGGGTGGTGAGACACTGGCACAGGTTGGCTAGAGAAGCTGTGGATGCCCCATCCCTGGAGGGTTTGAAGGCCAGGCTGGATGAGGCTTTGAGCAACCTGGGCTAGTGGGAGGTGTCCCTGCCCACAGGGGGGCTGGAACTCAATGGTCTTTAAGGTCCTTTCCAACCCAAACCATTCTATGATTCTTAGCAGCAGTATTCCCTCTGTCCTCATTGGTTTTGGACATTTCATTTTTCCCCAGTTTGCTATTCACTGGTAGGTGTTTCTAGAGAGCCGGGGGGGGGGGGGGGGGGGGCGC